TCAGGGTAGGTCCATGTGGCTTCTCCTCAGGGATGTCTCACAGAGTATGAACCCAGACAGAGAGTGTCTCCTGCCTCCAAGGAGGATATCCCAGATTTCCCAGGATCCTCAGGAAAAGGCATGCCCACAGTGAGGTCTCATTAGCTATGACCCGATTGACAGACTAGATTCCACCCCTTCATTATTAATCCTATCAAGTCCCAATTTGACACCAGATTATATAAACCTACCACACATACTGAATTCTTTCAAGTTGCATTATATGAGTGAAACTTAAATATCTCTTAATTTATGAGATGCCTTTTAAACTCACACTTTTATTTAGCATTGACATTTGCTTTCCTTTGTAATGCCCTTAAATTCAAGTCATACAACTAAGACATTAATTAACTTATTTGAAGAAATAGTATCACTAATTTTAAAGAGTTAGGCTTTTGATTTCTATGACAATGCTAGGGTGTCCAATACAATTATTTAAACAATTACTATAAAATACTAGATGAACTGACTTTTGAAAAGTACTTTTCAACAATTTCAAATTCTTTACAGATGAATATATAATGAGATTAACAATACAAGCTTTTTAAAAATTGCAATTGCTATTTGATCGAAAGTTTACAGTTAATGTGTTTTTCATTAAATGATTCATATACATTTTTGTCCTGTGATATTGAATGCAGTGATCCTTCTTGCTTATCCATTCCTGCCTTCTGAGCTTCTTATCCCTTAGAAAATGCTGCCCCTTTAATTTCATATGGTTGATTGCTTAAGATGTGTACAGCTTCTTGAGGTTATTGTTCAAGTTACAGGCCTACCTATTTTTTGACTGAGAACTAAGCGATGGACATGAATTCATTTCCAATTCTGAAGGTTGACTGAGGGCCACAGCCTCAGGGGTTCAACTAGTCTGTGAGAAATTTTGTTATTTTGATTTTTGTTCCCATCCTCTCTATACCTCCTCTATCAATGACCATCTACTATGATCCCTTTCAGACTAATAAGTAGTGATAGTCAGGGACCATCTAGTTCTGGTTTCATAGATATGGACTTTAAGTTGCATGTTGTTCATTGTTTTCACATGTCATGGATTTTCTAGAAGTCAACCAGAACTTTTTCTCAGTAATTCTAATAAATATTCTTCAGTCTTCATCTGCCTTGTCTTCACAAAGTATTTGATTCTCTGAGCATATTTTATAAGCGATCCCTTTCCCTCGAATTCTGCTTTAGTTATTTAATTTTCATGTGTCTTTCATTTTCTGGAAGTCATCAGTAATTTTTTCTCACTAATTCTTATACTTTTCAGTCCTAATCTGACTAGTCTTTATAGCAGCATTGGACCCTTCTGACCATACATTATGAAAGATCCTTTTCCCTTGGATTCTACCTTAGTTATCTAGTGCTGGAAACATAAACATTTAAAGAATTTTACATAAATATTCTCACACTTTAGGAGATACGACGCTCTAATTCAGAACTCAGGCTCTAGGGGAAACGTTCTCTCTGTGTGGACTCTGGGGGAAGGACTGTCTGCTTTCCTTGGAGAGCACGTGTGCAGGGACTGGGAGGTTCCCAGTGGAAGTACTCCTGTTCCAATGCCACACTCTGTTCCTGGCTTTTCTTTGTTAGTAATATTGAGATCTCTGCTTTTCTGCTTGCTTCTCTCTCCTTTTATCATGAGATAAAACGTGATACAGATTGCACCCTAGGGAAACTCCTCTTATATTTATGAGGGATGGGGCCTGAATAAGGGTGTTGCAGCCCAGCATAATTCCCATACAATGGATTGAATGATCATATCAGATCTATCATGGTGAATAATCACATAATTACATAACAGACAAACCACTGAGAAGCATGATGTAGACACGATGCTGCAGACTTTTGGGTACACGGTCCTATTCATAACAACTTTCTCACATAAAACAATAAAACAGAACAATTTAAGTTTCATTTTAGAGATATTTTCCCCAACCACTTGGCTGATCATTTCCACAAAGCGTAATGCATTGGTTTAAAAACCCAGATTGATTAATAAATAAAACATTTCTTTTTTAAAAAACCTTAAATAAGTTTCAAGCAATGCAATGTCCTTTGATTTTTTTACATGTAACAATTTTATTTTTACAGATACTAATTAATTTTGAACAACAGTTCAACTTTTGAACTGTTTTGAATTCAAGTTCAACTTTGGAATTGGACTTACTGGCAGCCTTGGCTCACTTCGGCACCTTCGAACCGGCCTCCTCCATGTAGACATCAGGGATCATACCCATCTTTGAGCTGACCATGTGTACGGTGTTCTTGTTAAACAACTTGTATTCATACAGGATTAACTGTTCCCAGAAGCCATTGTTGGGATGGATCCTGGGTCGGCAAGACTTGGTCCAAGTGTAGGCTTGCAGCAGCGACATGCAGTGGTATTTCATGAGATAAGCAAAGCACAGCGCTGCTGAGCGGCTAACCCCAGCAGCACAGTGTAGCAGTGTATGGCCTAGCTTCATTCCTACTGTATGAATATGATCCGCAACAGGGTCAAAGTAGTTGTAGAGGCTAGAACTGGGTGTATCCTCTACAGGAATCTTCACGTACTGGATGCCGTCGTAGTACTTGTTCACCACGTCCACCGTTGCGTTGATAACTGAAGTGATATTAAAGCTGGACAGCATGGCCTTGCTGTTAGCTGCTGCAGCATTACTGATGAATAAGCAGCGGGTGATCTGAGTTGGGCACTCAACTGAGGTCTGCTGTAACGGAGGGAGACGCTGAGGTTCCATCTTCAAGGTCTCGGATCTCAGGGTTTACTGCGCAGATCAGTTTGGAGCATCACTCTTTCAAGGCAGGCGAGTTGAATCAGGCAGCAGCTGCACCACGAAGTCTTAGGCAGGAGTCTGGGGGAGAGGGGCCTGAGATATACTGACCTGACATCACAATCCCCAATATCTGACCTTCTGGTTTCCATGGAAATGGCAGCACCGCTGAGGAAAGCCTCATTGGTTACTGTGTGGTGCCAGGCCTTCAGAGATACCCGGTCTTTTTTCTTCAAAAGAGTTTATTTCGCAGACCCAAATTCTCATTTTTCTTGACTTTAAAAAAAAGTTATGTTGCAATATTTTTATTTTATGCTTCAATTGTAGATCCACACAAACCACAATGTCTTTTAAAAAAGTTTTTTGGACATAATTTACTTAACATACAATTCAACAGTTTGAATATATTAAAAAGGTGTGCAATCTTCATAAAATTGAATTTTAGAACATATTGTTCATAACCCTAAGAAATTAATTATATATTGTCTGTATAGATTTACCTATCTTGGGTTTCATATAAAGAAAACCATCCCCCCCCAAAAAAAGACCTACAACAATAATAAGAAAAGAAGACACAGAGAAACCTTAATCCTAAAGAAAGCAGAAAATTATAAAAATTAGGAGCCCTGATGGATAGTGATTACCAGTTTGGCAGTTCACAGCAAAGTCAGGAGTTGGAAATTACCAGCCTCACTTTTTTATAATTAAATAACTTGGGGGGGGCGGCTTTTAAAACTCTTACCACAAGCCATACATTCATCCCTTGTGTGAAGCACATTTGCACATATGCTGCAATAATTATTTTCCAAGCATTTTCTTTCTACTTGAGCCCTTGATATCAACTCCTCATTTTCCCCTCCCTCCCCCACCTGCCCTCACTCATGAACCCATGATAAGTTATAGCTTATTATTTTCATATCTTATATGGTCCTCTGTTGTCCTTCACCCACTTTTCTATTGTTTGTTGCAGTGGGAGGGAGTTACATGTTGATCTTTGTGATCAATTCCCCTTTCCTCCCCCCACTTTCCCCTAATCTTCCTGGTATCTCTATTCTCATTGTTGGCCTTGAGGTGTTTATCTATCCTGGATTTCCTGTTGTGCATGTTCTGGTCTACTCTGATTTGTAAGGTAGAACCGAGGTCATGATAGTGGGGGGAAGGCAATATTAAAGAACTAGAAGAAAGTTGTGTGTTTCATCGATGCTATACTGCGCCCTGAGTGGCTCATCTCTTCCTTGTGACCCTTCTGTGAGGCGATGTCTAAGTGTGTACAGATGGGCTTTGAGTCCCAAGTCTACACACACACACACATATCCTCTCTCTCTCTCTCTCTCTCATTGGGCATGCTTTTGTTCTGGGTCTTAGGTAACTGATACCTGATCCCATGGACACCTCATGATCACACAGGCTGGTGTGCTTCTTCCATGTGGAATTTACTGCTTCTGAGCTAGATGGCTACTTGTTTATCTTCAAGCCTTTACGACCTCAGATACTTTATCTTTAGATATCTGGTCACCATCAGCTTTCTTAACACATTTGCTTATGCACCCATTTTGTCTTCAGTGATTGTATTGGGAAGGTGAGCATCACTGAATGCCGGACTATTACGACCAAGTGTTCTTGTGTCGAGGGAGTACTTGAGTCAGGCCCAATGTTCATCTGTAATTTTATTTATTTTTATTAATCATTTTATTGGGAGCTCATACAATGCTTATCATAATCTATACATACACCTATTGTGTCAAGCACATTTGCAAATTTGTTGCCATCAGCATTCTCAAAACATCTGCTTTCCACTCTCATTTGTTTACCCTCCCTCCACGTTCCTCCCTCCCTCATGAACCCTTGACAATTTACAAATCATTATTATTTTGTCATGTCGTACACTGTCTAACGTCTCACTTCACCGGCTTTTCTGTTGACCGACCTCCAGAGAGGAGGTTATATGTAGATCCTTGGAATTTGTTCCCCCTTTCTAGACCCACCTTCTCTCCACCCTCCCGGTATCACCACTCTCACCACTCACCTGAGGGGTTCCTTTAATTCTTAGCATATAGATATAAGTGTATGGATCTATTCCCCTCTTGTTATATATAAATATATTTATATGTGTACATGCTTGTATTTAGACCTCTAGAAAATATCTTTTGCCACTTGGTTCTTTCCTCTATTTCCTTTTACTATCCTTTTGTCCCACATTATTCTTCAGCCTTCATTTGGGTTTAATAATTCCACACTGCTACATTGCCCTTGAATAAGCCCAACTAGGCAACCTATGCCTTACTGTCCATTGATTTTAGTTCACCTGTTGTTCCCTTGTCCCTGGATTGGTTCCAGGCCCCCTTCCTTTCTGCCACCTCCCCTTCTCCCATAACCCCCCGGAAACATTGGTCCCATTCTTTTCATCTCCAAATTGTTTATGTTGCCTAACTTATCTAGATAGACATGCAGAGAAATTAATAAGCGCAAAAACCAGGCAAAGCCAAACAAAACAACAAAGGAAGTCAAAACCAACAACAACAAATCCAACACAAAAATAACAATAACAAAATGAAAGCCACAGACAAAAATGGAAAAGCCTGTAAATAGTTCAAGTTCAGTTTGTTGGCCTTTATGAGTGTTTTCCAGTCGAGTTTGATGGGGTGCCACACTTTCTCCAAAGTATGCTTTTGGTATTCCCCAGGGGTTTCATCACTTTGCTCCCCTTGCTGCTCTGTTGCATGTCCTTACTGTTTCGCCCCAGTGTGATGTGGTGAGATTAGGCACAGTTCCTGCACTGTGTCTCCAGTATTGTCCCCCATAGCACTATGATTCAGTGAGCGACGTCATGACTCATGGTGGGGCTGGCCCTATGGTCCTGTTTGCATTGTCTGCTCTAAGTAGTAATATCGTCCTTTGAGCTTGGTGGGCCAGGATGTGTTCCCCTGCATCTCCATGCCTCTTCACTTCCTCTGTGTGCTTTAATCAGAAGTGCCTCTCCCCAAGCTGTAGCTTCAGTGCAGTCCTCTGAAGTGCATTCTTCTGTGTGTGTGTATGGGGGAGGGGGGTTTCCCCATAGTTAGGATTCGGGCTGGCCCCACAGACCTCTGTATTGGTTCCCTAGCACATGCCGGTATGTGGTATTCACATCTTGGTGCATTGGGTTGAAGCCTGGTCTCTTTCTCCCTCTCCCTGGGAGATAAATAAAATACACGTCCCTTGGGTGGGATAGTGCCCTACCTCCCCCCACGTCTATTTTTTTAATCTTTCTTTCCTCCTCCTTTTTAGTTGGCTGCCATATGTATTGGGTTTGGCCCCTGCCATTGTACCTGGACCTCACTCCAGGAATGTATGTATATAGAAGCTTTTCCCCCATGCCCCCTTTTTTTAAGTTTACCTCAGTGGACTAATTTTTTACATGTCCTTTTGTGCTTGGCTTACTTTGCTTAGCATGATTTCCTCTAGTTCTTCCCATGCATATGGACATGTGCTTCATGCATTCATCGCTGATTTTTAGGGATGCATAGTACTCCGTTGTGAGTATGTACCACAGTGTTTTTTATCCATTCGTCTGTTGATGGAAATTTGGGTTGTTTCCGACTCTTTTCGATTGTGAACTGTGCCTCGATGAACATTGGAGCACATTAGTCTGGCAGTGATTTCTTTATTGCCTCTTCTGGATATATGCCCAGTAGGATTGCTGGGCTGCATAGCAGCTCAATTTCCATCTCTTTCAGATATTTCCAAATCTATTTACATAATGCCTGTACATACCTACAGGGCCACCAGCAGTGGGAGAGAGTTCCTATCTCACCACAGCCCCTCCAACACTTGTTACTTTCTGAATTTTTGAATTGGGCTATCTTTGCCGGTGCTAAGTGGTAACTCATAATTGTTTTAATTTGCATTTGTCTTATGGCTAATGATCAGGAGCCTTTTCTCATATGTTTATTGGCCATTTGGAATTCTTCCCTTGTGAAACTTCTGTTCAGGTCCTTTGTCCACCTCCTTAGTAGGCAGTTAGTTTGTATCTTATTGTAAGCTAGCAAATTATTGTAGATTATAGTAATAAGGCCTTTGTCTGATGTGCCATTGCTCAAGAAGTTTTCCAGTCGGGGGGCTCTCTTATTACTCTCTTGGTGATTTCAGTCTATGTCCAGAGGTGTTTTATCTTCAGTATATTCCACTTGTCAATTTATGACTCCTCTGTATTTGTATTCTTCCCAATTTCCTATAGCCTATGTACTCCCTGCGCCATGGTTCTCAGGTTTTTCCCAAATTCCCCAATAAAGGCCCTAAAAAGAAAAGGGTTTAACCCAAAGGCCGGGAACCAACCTGAAATTAAAACTGGGGAAGGAAGGAAGGAAAGCGCCTGCCTCAATTTTCCAAAAGGAAGAAAACAATTTTTTCCCACAACAACTAACGAAAAAGGCAACCCCCCCCCATTTGATATTTTTTGGGCCCTTATCAAAAATCAGTTGTCTGTATGCTGATGTTTTTATTTCAGGTTTTTCAGCTCTTTTCCATTGGTTTGAATATCTGTCCTTATATCTGTACCACACTGTTTTGACCACCGTGGCTTTATCATATGTTCTAAAGTCAGGTAGCGCAAGCCCTCCCACTTTGTCCTTCTTCTTGAAGACTTCTCTGCTAATTCTGGGCTTCTTGCCTCTCCATATGAAGTTGGTAATCAGTGTTTCCAATTCTTTGATAAAGGATGATGGTACTCGTATTGGGATAGCATTAAATTTATATAGTGCCTTGGGCAGAACTGACATCTTTACTATATTGAGTCTTCCAATCCAAGAGCGTGGGATATTCTTCCACTTGTTGAGGTCACTCTTGGTTTCTTGTAATAGTGTTCTGTAGTTTTCCTCATACAAATCACTTGTGTTTTTAGTCAGGTATATCCCTAGATATTTCCATTTGTGCTTGGCTATTCTAAAGGGCACTACCTTATTAATTGCCCCTTCAGTGAACTTGTTTGT